ACCGATTCCAAGCCTGCCAATCACCTGCCGGGGCACTCTTCCCCTGAGCCCTCCCCACACCTCCCCTCCTGCAGCTGAACACCATGCCCCCTGCACAGGGCCTTTCTGTGTTTGCATGCTCTCTCTCTGTCTGCACGGGATCCCTGCAGATACTTCCTCCCACCATCCAAAAACACGCATGCTACAACAGTTCATTTAAGACCCTACATTTCCATTAGGAGTAAATGTGAGTGTGTGGAAATGGATCTCTGTGAGGGGCTCGAGCTCCCCACAACCCTACCACGAACAAGCGGTATATACAACGGATGGATGGATGTTCATTCGAGAGTAAATTGTTTACACCTGCTTTTGGTGTTTCTTGAGTCTGGTGGTATTCATATATTGTATAGATCTGAAACTGCCCACTCTGGAGGCAGAAAATAAACCAAGAGCCAAGTTCATGTCAGCTGTAGGCAGAGCCTCACAATGTGAAACTGGCTGAGATGTAATAGTTCATATCTTTGGTTTCCATCCACAAATCACACCACTTTAGCTTTTTGGTTAATCGGTATTCTTCTGGCTCTTTGATTGTGTGATGTTGGCCTCTTTAGTATGACAGGTAGTTTATGTGTGTGGCTGCAGTACTGCAGGCCCCTGCTGTAGGGGGAGCCAAAGGGCAAAAAGAGACCACATTGGATTGTTAAAGTGTAAAATGGCACTTTACTTTTACATTTTTCTCAGTGGTTTTTATTTCATTTAGCTTTTTTGGGGGGGGCGCTATTGAAACAAAACAAAATTAGTGGTTGAAAATGTTCTGCTTGGAGGATTTTTAGAAACAACCTTAATTTAAAATGCTAATAGATTCTTCAGAACCCGTTGTTGCCCTAAGCCAAGTTAAATCAATGGGACCTTGGGCAGGAAGTTGCTTTCTGGAATCCAGTATAAAGATACAGGAATACACCTTTGACCTGGGGCTGGAAGAACCATTTCTTGAGCCAAAGCATTAGCAAAGCAGCAGGAACTGTTTTCCATCCACCAACAGGTGCTTCCTGAAGTTTCACACAGTGCATTTTCTGCCACAGCCATCCAGCCATTCACAGTGGAACTGCGCGTATCAATTAAAGTGTCCTTTAACTACCATCACTGTACTCAAGTATCTCTTCAACACCTCGAAGGTAATCCTTATGAAATCTTCAGTTTGGGACGCCTTTTGGTAAGGCTTTGCACTCCTCTCATGCAGCTTTTCCACATTTTTTCTGTTCTCCATCCCTATTTCAGTCTCTTATAGGCCTGCCACATAATGACAGACCAGTTGTATATTAAAGGACTCTGCCCATGCATCCTCTCCCAGCCACCTCCCTCTTTGTGGGCCTTTAAAAGCTTCCTACAAGGAGGGGGGGCATCACTTTCAATAGAAAGGCTTAACTTCAGGAAGGCAAGCAAATCAACTGTTAATTTAAAGACAAAGATCTCCACAAAGGGGTAACCATGGATAACCATTCATACAATTTTCCTTCTGACTGCACCCCACTCACCAACTGCAAATCTGCCCGTAAGCCAGCGGGATCCACGGTGGTGAACATGGGCAACACTGGAAAGAATGCTCCCCGGGACTATCTGATTTGGTCGCTGTGTAACACCCTGTACGTTAACTTCTGCTGCTTGGGATTCATGGCCCTCATCTACTCCATCAAGGTGAGCTCTGACATTTTAAATCAGTAGGTTTCGGTTTGGAGCATTTTCGAGAAGCCCCTAGTTTGGACTTGAGTTATATTAGTTAACTGAGAGTCCAAATCCATTTTATTAACTTATATAAATAAAAAAGTAATTTAGGAAAAAAGCTAAATAACTTTTACTGAAAAATAATAATTTAAATTCTAAAGATGCTGTTTTTTTAATGCTGATTCTACAGTTACGGGTGATACACACAAAAGTCTGGACCATAAATACCGCAAAAATAAATAACATGGTTTATTTATGACATTGCAACATTAAACACAAACAGGACCCAAAAACCTCTTTGCCAAAGTCAAATATATGTTTAAGCAAAATGTAACAACGGTAACAGTTTGCGGTCTTCGTACGGTTCCTTCAAACCAAAATCCAATTATTTGCTCTCAGCAGCAGCTTGAAAATATGTAAAAACACTTTGCACTAGTTCACCTGAACACAAGAGTTCCTAAAAATGTCACCACCAAAAAGGGTGGACATAAACCCATTCTTAGCTCCCGTTTTTCCTTCCACCAAAGGGTGTTCTGAATCACAAAGCCCACCACTGGCTCGGCACACAAATTAAAGACGGTGACTCGCTGCGTGGGGAGTTAAAAATGGTATAATTGCCATCTTCTTAATGGGCGAGTACTTATGAGAAATTAGAGAGTGCCAGAGAAGATTTCAGCAAAAAGGCAGACTTGCACTTAGCGAGGCTTCACATCACTCTGGCATTGGTCAGCCCTGAATTCGACCCTGAACAACCTGCAATGAGCCAAATTATGGTTGCTCTTTTCTTTGCCGCACTCCTCTCTCTGTTTACAGTCTGTCTCTGGATCTGTCTTCCTCAGGCGCCCAACGCGGAGTTGTAACGTTTTCAACAAACCGACGTGATCTTTTTTTTTTACAGCTGTAATTTTAACGTGTTTGCACACACTTTCGCAGGCCAGGGATCAGAAGACTTTGGGCAACCTGCAGCTGGCTCAGGAGTGCTCGGACAAGGCCAAGTGGTACAACATCCTGGCCGCCGGCTGGAACCTGCTGATTCCTCTTCTGGCCGTCGTCCTGCTCGTCCTCCTCCTCGTCCACCTCGGCTCTTCTCAGGGCTCCTTTGACTTCATCGGAGAAGACGGGTTCCAAAACTTCATGAAGCTATTCAGTTGGTAGACGGCAGGCTAAAATCTGGATTTTTTTTTGGGTTGTTGGCCTCAGACGGTACTTATTTGCATTAGCTGTTATGATAAGGTGTTTTGTTTGATTCGGAAGATGAAGGCAGGTGAGATTAGGTAATGAATTTGAGCAAGTGTGAATGTTTTTTCTTCAAATGGGAAAAAAAACTTTTCTCAGTATTATAATCTTCCTAATTGGTCAGAACAACAACAAAAATATTCTTTATGCAGATTGAAAATCTTCTCAATGTACAATTACATTTAAAGAAACAGGAGACCTCAAATGAAATGTAGCCTATAAAAGAAGTAAAATTTGGAGTTTATGGCCTGGCAAAAAAGTTCCGGTACCTTTTGCCCTGCAGATTTGTCATTACAGCTTAAGCTAGTTTTATGAATGGTGGCTCAGAACCAGAAGCATTAACAAAGAGCAAGATTTCACAAACCATGGATCACATGCCTTCCCTAAATGTAATATATTTGCTTTTAACAAAACAAAACACGTTATACCTGTGATGTTCCTTCAACAACAAGTGGAAATCTCTGCTGTGAAAGGGGTCTATAGTGAATCTTCAGCATTAGCGGGATACGGTCAGTCAAAATGTGAAGTTGACCAAAGGCTGAACTTGCCTCAACAATAATTTTTAGGGATAAATGAAGGTGGACGGGGACGAATCCAGGGCTGAACCAGCATCCCTTTGTTTTTAATTTATTGTATTTATGTTGACTGGAAATCTGATTTACAACTTAAACTATATTTGGTCAGGTTAAAGAGAGAAATCGAGAACTGTGGAGCCCCGGTCTTAATGTCACAAAGATGAGAAGATACATCAACAGAGAACAATTAGTTTCTTTCCATCTTTCAGCAGTTTATATGTTTTTGTTGTTACACTTTTCATCTGTTTTTGTTGCCATTATTCACAAGTTTTTAGTATTATTTTGAGTATCCTGGGTTTAAACTGTCGTGCTGTCAACCTCTAAACTGAATAAACCATTGACTTGATCCTTTGCTCAAAGCAAATCCGTTTAATTTATTTTCGCCTGTGTAACACGTCAAACTCCTGACAAACTTTCAGGTAATTGTAATCCCGGTGGCAGCTGGTGAAGCTGGGAGGAGGAAGCTGCCCCTGAGTGGCTCCTGTGGTCATGCTGCTGCACCTACACCCAGCCTGAAAGGGGATCATTTTGGGGCTTCTTGGGTTTGGACTCAGGGGCGGGTCATGGTTGTTTTCATCCCAGCTGTGAGACGGCTGCTCCACCAGCTAAATACAGAACGGACAGTTTTAGGAAACTGTTTAAAACGTGCCATCCACCCGTGAGCCGGGGCCGCCCAGGCACACCACAGCGGATTCATGGGCACTGTGGAGGCCTGCAGCCAAGTTAATGACACCTAAAGAAAGAAGAAAATGTTTGCGCTTTTCCAACTGGTCAATGCAGCTGGTGTAAAAACCTAAAAATCAAAAGTTAAGGGTTCTTTGAAGATTCGTGAAGACAGGTTTATATATCAATAAGTCCTTTCTGGATGTGGACTGCATGCATGATTTATTTTATCTCACACTTCTGATGGAGAATGTGAAAACAAAGACGTGCAAATTAAGAAAAAAGGGCCATTTGGAAGGATTCGTCTTCTGCTCTGCATGTGTGAAAAACACCTACTGATAGGTCTTAAGCTTTTCAGACGACAGCCCATTCTACAGACACTCTGAGAGGCTCCGCTTATCCTCCTGGTCTTCATGTCTCGTCTTTGATGATTTGAACATCACACTCATGCAAACTTCCCACCCTTCGGACTCCCATCGTATTAGTAGCTTCAGCTATGCTCACAGCTTTATTTATAACCGTCCAAATCACATGCTCGAGCTTCCAACAATCCATTAAGCTCATGTGGTTGGAGAGAAACGCTTACAGATGTTTGAGGAAAATTATAGGATTGCGGCGGGTGCTGCAGGAGGCAGGGTGTACACTTCCTCCTGCTCTCTCTAGGAGCTGCTCGCTACAATGCCAAGCTGTGGAGGGAACAGGAAGACAACGGCGAAGGGGAAACAATTACAAACGCTATTGTGCGAGTCAGGTTTAACAAACACTTTCACACACTAGAGTCAACATGGTTCACTGATACCGTTCATTCAGAAAATGCATCTCGGGCAGCTAGCTTTAAAGTGGAATGAGAAGTTTGTTTGAGAAGTTTCCCATCCCAAATGAGTTTTAATGTCACATTACAGGGCCAAGATGCGTGACAGTTTCCACCATGTGCAAAGTATAAGAAAAGTAAGACGTCCGAATTGTCATTGACAGAAAGGAATGCAGATCAGCCTCTTCACGCACTTTGTTTCTTTCTTTGTTTGACTCCACCTCTTGACATGTAGGTGAGATTTCTCTGTGGTGGCTTTTCATGCACTGTTCTGGCAAATGACCAAAGTACTGATCACAAAGCTGTTTTACTGGTGCTAAAAATGCTATCTGTGTGGATAAGACTTGTCCTTCCTTTAGTCGCTGCATGCCCTCTTCTGGCCTGCTGGTTTCCAAAGGAAGACAGACGAGCTGCACAGGCAAATGTTAACATTGCACAAGACACAATTCACCAACCACTTTGACATCTTAAGAAAAGTAAAATGGAAAATATGCCTATTTTTGTTTTTTTTTCTAGGACTTCATCACATTACATAATATTTATTTATTGCCAAATATTAGACATGTTTGCCCCCAAAAAATCTGCCTTACTGACTTGGCATGTCATATATATATGGTTTTATTGAACCCCAGTGACCCAACAACAACAGCAACACAACAGAAACGTGGCACCGTCAGATCGGTCCTTGTAACCTTTTCAAAAATAAAAAGCCTAATCCACTCAAAGGGACCCCCCCCCCTTTCCCCGCCCTGATTTTGCAAGACAAAAGCGTTCCCTGAGTTTGTTGTCGGGACTAAATACAGGAACCCCTCACGTCCATCATCAGCATATGCGCAAAGTATGCGCACACCAGCTCTGATCCAGTAGCGGAACTTATTTTGCCGCAGTTTGAGGATGGAGTTGTTTATTTAGGAATAAACAACCCCCCCCCCCACACACACACACACACATGCGCGTTTTAAGGTCTCAAAAACAGATCAGGGGACTGACCGAGCTCCATTTAGTTTGAAGGGGTTCCTACTGATTGGTTTTATGTTGAATATTGAATATCTCCCTGTTTGTGGAAAGTCACCCGCCAGGACATGTGATCTCTGGAAGATAGGCTCCCTGGTCCTTCCCATGTTTAACGGTGGCGTTCAAAAACTGCAAAAACATCCCCTACTGGAGACTAATATGATCGCAGCAAGCAAGGGGGGGGGGGTAATCTATTCTAGCCTCATTTCAACTGGGCGTTTCCAACCTCTGCTGGGATTCTACATCACGTAGGTGGGTCGTTTCTTTTTCCCCCCTTGTTTTCTTTTTTTCAAATTAGAGGACCACGGGCACCAGCAGCAGCGATCCGCCGGCCAGAGGGAGCACAGAGCCGGTCAGCATGAACAGGTAGGAGTCGGGGTTGGATCGGGTTTGCGCGGAGGATATTTGGACAATAATCCTGGAGCGTGTTATTGTTTGCGCGCCAGGTTTTAGGAGAGCCAGAGAAAGCACGTGATCGGCTGACATCACATTGATGCAAAAGCATTAACATGAGCTCATCTGGGCAGGAAATGGTCTCTTTTGCATCACGATAGTCCATAACATGATGCAAAAACACAGTACAATTAAAACGTGTTTTTCTTCCGTCCTGCTACTTCAAACTTCCTTGTTACTTTCTTATCTTGCTTGTATCACTTCAAACCACCACATGTGCATTTTTAAGGGCATATTTCCTCACTATGAGTTTAAGCCCACCCAACATCCATCCATTCCCCAGTCTGAGCAGCAGCAGTGAGGAGGAAAAAGTGTCTAATCTCAACTATAAATGCACAATAAATGCCCAGACTCCTGGAGGAAGACGGTCTTTTTCAACGGACTGAGTCCAGAGGAGAGCAAAGGGGTTTAAAGCTGTTGAGCAACAGGAAGACTCAGCAGATTGGTGGGGCCCATTGCTCACACACAGAAGTCTGATTTGGAGTTTACCCTCCAGAAGCCTTTTATTCTCACTGGGAACAGAAACGGCGCCCCTGTTGACCCAAGTGAACTCAATGAACCCCGCACCGACAGTTTTTCTTCCCATGTTTTAAGGGGAATTGTGTTGTTGACCGAAATGAACTCAATGACCTCGGCACAGAAAGCTTTCAAAGTGAGCAAGGGACTCCTTCTTGGATCCCGTTTCTATGTCGTATCATGTCTGAAAATGAGCCGTTTTTGCACATTAGTTTCTTTATTTCCCCTCCCGAGACCCGCCAGAGAAGACTGGAGAAAACTGTTAATTTAGTTGTAAGCAGGAGCTCCTCCTACCAATTCATATGTCATCTGAGTGGTCACTCTGGTCCACTTTTGCCCACACTCAGCCTAAACGGTAGTTATTGTGGTGTGTTTTACAGGATGCACTGTTGACTTACAGGGGGAGAATTTCTCCAGTAATATGATCTGAAGGGAAGGGGCTTTAACCCACTAAAACTGCCCTGCATCACGTTGTTTACAAAACACAAATTGGAGCAGTTTTACACCATAACAAGATCTGATGGACAGTAAAAACTCTTTAAGCCGTACCATGACCAATTGCTATTCACGCACGGACCTCCCCCACGCTGTAAGTTCCACTCTGGGTTGTGTTAAGGCTTTGTTGTGCTGAGGCCCACTGCCTCACCCTACTCAAGCACCGCCATTCTGAGCACAGAAATTTGGCTCACACTTGGAATTTTGGCAAGCAAGCATTAAGGACTAAGGTTAAGGTTTGGGGCGGTTGAAGTGTAAGGTGAAATTTGACCTTAAGAGAGTCCAGTCTCACGTTTTTGGAGTAAACATGCTACATTGAAAACCTCAATATTTACACTGTGTACATACATGAATATATTTTTGTTGAAAATGCACTTTATTGCTAGTTTTTCCTCCCTCCCCGCAGGTGACTGAAATATTACATAGCTGTAATATATCAGATTGTGACAACAAGATAAGAACAAGATAAGAAATAGTCATGACTAACAGAATAACCACCCTTTTATTCTGTTTGTATGGAGAGTTGAGGAAAACATGAATGTGAAAGGGCTTGTTTTTCTAGTTTTGTGCTAGGATAAGTAAATAGACTAATGGAGTGTGATCTATATTGACATTTTCATCTACTTCCTAGGGCAAATAAATATATATATATCTCTTCTTTTTTAAATGTTGGTGGATTAAATTTGAAGCAGTTAGTTTCTTTGTAAGAATGTCCTTAATTCTGAGGGTGAAAGTGTTGTGAGTCTGTCTGGGATGATAGCTGCCTCTTGATATCTGCGGGTTTCTTGATGGAAATTGCTGAAAAGATAACTAGAAAGGCTCTAGAATTCTATGTATCCCCATACTAGTAGCACAATAGTGTGCTTTGTAACTACTCTGCAGCCAAACCACTCGCAAACATCCAGAGTATGAGACAAACTGCTGTGACGTCCTTCATCTATAACTTACAAATGATCTTCCACATTTGAAATGATTATAAATTATATCAGAGTTAAAAAAAAAAGTCAGTTTTGATCTTGATTGATCAAGAATGATGCTAACTAAAATGAAGTATATAACTCATCTATTAGCTGAAACAGAATTGAATTGAAGACACACATTGTGAAACCACTGCATTTTTTTCCCAGGTGCCTGATTAGTCAGATGGAGGTGCAGGGCTTCATTGAGAGGTGTTTGGCAGCAGTGGGCGCCAAACCACACCACGCCCGCAGCCTGGCCGAGGTGTTAGTGGAAGGAGACTGCAGAGGCCACTACAGCCATGGACTGAACAGGATGGGTGGGTGGCTTTTTGTGCATGGTTGATTCTTAGCTTGCACATATCTTGCTTGGAGTGCCATATATTCTCTGTTTATGTGTGTGTGTGTGTGTTTTTTTCTTGATCAGATATGTATGTGAAAGACATCCAGACGGGGATCTGTGCTGTTGATGGAGAGCCGGTGGTGGAGAAGGAGAGTGCCGCCACAGCTCTGGTGGATGGGAAGAACCTCCTGGGCCCGGTGGTGGGGAACTTCTGCATGAATCTGGCCATAGCCAAGGCCAAAGAGGTCGGCATTGGCTGGGTGGTGGCACACGGTGAGGCTCATTTTGTGTTTTGTTTTTATTTTTGCATTTCACCCAAAATTAAAATAGCTTTGTCTGTATACTTAACAATCCATCTGTATGGATGCCTGTCCAAAACAGGCAGCCTTATTTTAGCAGCTTACTTTAAAGTTTGCAGCTTAGCCTAATGGCATAGTTTAGCGGAAAGATGCCTGATTGCACTGTGTTCACATTTGAAGTAGTAAGTGTGGATCCAGAAAGAAAACTGAAGTTGTGTTTCTGAGGCAGAGAAAAACTATTAATCAGAATTTCATAGATTTTTTTTTCTCAGAGAGTAAAACTGACTGATTCATTGATTAAGTATTAAAATCTTCTAGGCTTAAATTTCAATAGTCTATTATTAGTAGGAGTGGAGCCATAAATAAAACTGAACAGGAATATTTTTTGCGAAATAGACCTTTAATGCCGATTTTTTCCTTAAGGTTCCAACCATTTTGGTATTGCTGGATACTATGCGATGCAAGCACTAAAGGAAAACATGATTGTGAGTGAAACATTTTCTACCATTAATGTTTTGATTTGAGTTTTTTTAGTTTCCTAATTGAGAAAAGTTCATACTTATTTACTTATTATCAACAACAAACAGGTTGAATACATGAACAGCAGCATCCCTGTCTATCTTTAGGAAACTCTGTACCCCTCTACTATTCTTTCTGGAGTTCCCTCTATCTCTCTTTGCTCTCACCACTGATTCTGAATAGGGATTTTTCTCTAGAGAACTTATTGTCATATTGAAGATAACTGTAACATTGTGTCTACTTTGTAAGTCACTTTGGATAAAAGCGTCTGCTAAATGCATAAACATAAATATGCTCTAACTTGCTATTTATTTGCTAATATGAAATTCATCTCCACAGGGCATGTCATTCACCAACACATCCCCGCTTGTGGTTCCCACTCGTGGTAAAGAGGTAATTATTTGTTTTTTGCATTGTTTTTTGTGAGTGAGTTATGTCAAAAGCCAGTATGTGACACATGAGGTGGTTCCTTGTCTTTACATTTTCACAACACGGAGAAAACATGCAGTTGAAACATTTTCCTCCACTTTTGAATGTCCTGTTACTTTCATGTTGGGGTTTGAAGCCCTACCCCTTGTGATGGAGGCCCTTGGTGTCATATTTCTTCTATTTTTCTCAGTTGAGGTATACTTCATGCATAGTCAGTGCGTGATTCACAGGTAGCTTTTCCTGCGGTGGTCCAGCTGAGGGGCTGCAAGACTCCAGACTGAATTTTTATACTGGCTGCCCCCACTTTGAATTTCAAGAGCCACCTAAATCCCGTTAAGCTTTCAAATGTTTTCCCAAACTGATCAAATACCTTGATGATAAACAGGTATTTGAAATAAATGAGATACCTTTTGTCAAAACGCGGATTTAGTCTTTTTTCTTCTGTTTCTGCTGTTTTCTGTACAACTTCACATTTAGTTCAGGCGCCTTTTTTTGTGGCTGTATTTTTTAAGCAAATCAATGAATAAGCCGGACTTCTTCTGTGTTAAAATCCCTCTCATCCTTACACCCTTCTTAACAGCGTACTCTGGGCACCAACCCCTTGAGCATAGCCGCTCCGGCCAAAGATGGAGACAGCTTTGTACTCGACACGGCCACCTCAACGGTAGCACTTGGAAAGGTAAGATCTTCCTTTTTAGCGCGGCACCTTAACTTCTCAGTGCACTGTGGTCGGCCACTTCAAAAGGTAGCTTTCCATTCATGATACGGAAAGGGTATTCTTTTTCAGTTTGAATGTTTTTTGGTATCAGGAATTGATAAACTGTCTTCTGGCCTCTGGTCATTAGATGTATTGCACTGTGTAGAAGTGTGTGGAAGAGTAAATGCAGTCCACGATTGAACAGCTTCTAGAACCATCTTTAGCAGCAATACCTTTCTCTTTGTAACATTTGATAACTGAATTGTTTTAAGTCATAATTTCTTATGACGTAATCAGTCTCTTACATCATTGTGGAGGATCTTTGGCCCACTACTATTTTCCACGTGGCTTCAGTTCTTTGTGGCTGATGGCTATTTGTTATAAGTACCATCACAGCTATTTAAATAAGGTTGAAGTCAGGACTTTGATTGTTTTATTTTTGAGACATTCTGTTTCAGGTGTCCTAATAAGTGTGGAGTGAAAGTGCAATGTTTGCTCTTCACTGTTTGAGCCAGTCTTTAGCTGCCTCAGAGATTATCACGCATTTGTATTTAGGAGTTTATGGTGCTCCACAGGTCCTCCAGCTTGGTTTAATTCAGTGCCTCATTCTGATCAAACATCTCCACTTTTGTGTACATTTTTCCAGATGTCTTGTCCTTACAGATTAAATTGCTTTAGTAACACCTCACAGTTACATTGCTGATGTCTTTCCTCCTTGGCTTTGCATTAACCCACAGTAAACACCCCGGATTGGTAAAATTGTGCATTTCACTTTTACTTTTACTTGTAAATAGTTTGCACACTGTTATGTCATGTGTTTCAGAACCTATTTCAAGTTGGATTTACTTGGAGATTTTTTCCTTTTCTCCTGATCTGCAATGCTCTGTTCCATGCAATGTGCTATAGGTGGAGCTAAATGATCGACGTGGAGACCCTATACCTGATGGGTGGGGGTGTGACCCCCATGGGAAGATAACTACAGACCCTAAGAGAGTTCTGACTGGAGGAGGACTGGTCCCTATTGGCGGCAGTGAAGCCACAGGTCTGATATTTCTTCTTTTTTCTTTTTGTATCTTCTTTCCTTCTAAATAATCTTTTTTTCTCTTTATTACTTGTTGGCTGTTGGTCGCTGAGACCAACAGTCTTACCACTAGTGGTCGCTATCTGACCACTAATGGTCAGATATCATGAGTTAAGCTGACTTGGAATATGAAAAGAAAAATCGAATGCAATAACATGTAAAAGATGAGAGACGTACATGTCTACCACTGCATGACATTTATGCTGATTTTGTGGTTTTTGTTTAAAAATTGAAAATCTTTTCATTATTTAAGCTCCTCAGAGGTTTCTAAGAAACCTGATGTCTTCAATGAGTGGCAACTTTTCTTTTTTTTTTTTTTACTCTGGAGCCATGCTGTTGTGTTTTCACTTTGACATCCTAAAACACGCAAGAAATTCTCAGAAATTGAAATAATAAATCCACACATTTATTTTGCGATTCAATCAACTGAATGTATTTTATTTCATTGTGTAAGAATCTTCGTCCACTTTTTTTTACAATGTTGCTTCAGTTGTTCGAGGTTTGCAGAGCCCGTTTAAGTCAGTCAGGTCCAGGTTTACCGGCCATTTTTAAACACAAACAGCAAAGTTGTTCATGAGAATGTGCATGTGGTGTGATCTGGGCTCAGAAATTACATAACAGAAATAGCTGTATTTATTTGGAGTAGATGAAGTTTCTTACTCAAATTATATGAGCTTTGCATGTATCTGTATACATAATATCCACTAAACAGTGGTGGTACAGGTCAGCAGAGAGGGAAAAACCCTCACCAGTACACACACGGAAAATGTTCCAGAATATTCAAGATTCGTACATTGTCTCAATCCTTTTTTAAGATTTGAGTCTTTAGACAGAGGACACATTAGATGGGTTGCTGTGTAGTTCCTCATCAGGATGTGACTCAACACAGTTTTTACAGACAGAAAGCAATTCCCTTTGGGTATTATCTCACCTTTCTCTCATTGGACAGCTGTATATTATAGTTTACATCTCTATTATTGCCTTCAGGAGGGTACAAAGGCTATGGTCTTGGAATGATGGTGGAGGTGTTCTGCGGTATACTGGCTGGTGCCCAGTACAGCAAATATGTCCGCACGTGGAAGGTGACGGACCGCGTGGCCAATCTGGTATGTCGGGTTTTTATTTTGTCATGTGCGTTGTGTGTGTGTGAAATAATTATGTTCTACTTTCCAGTTTTAAACATAGGGCATTGTTGTTGTTATCTTGTTATGTGACATGTTAAAAGTCGGCCCTGTGATCACCTCATCGTGACTTTTGTAAATCCATTTAGAAGAAACCAGTGTTCGTGTTCCATTGTGGACATTGTGGCTCGAAAAGGAGGGGGCTTTAGGATGTGACTATCAGCACTAGAAATAAAAGCAGCAAGTTAAAAAAATATTGATGTTTTCTGCAATGAAAGTTGCCCAATTGATAAGATAGAATTAATATAATTTATTTGATTATTTAAATAATGAAACGCAAGCAAATGGTGTTATTATGAGTGGGTTATTAGTTCTCCATGAACAAATTTAATAATTACAACTCAACGATGATAATTATGATCTGTTTTATGTTTTAATTCTTTGATTTTTTACAAAGAGACTTACACACTTACTTTGATGGAAGCCATATTGTGTTATGTCCTTACTCACCTCGCAGTGACATCTCTTTTGGGTTTTAGGGTCAGTGTTTTGTGGCAGTCAATCCAGACAACTTTGCCCCCGGGTTCAACGAGAGGATGTCAGATCTTCTGTCCATCCAGAGAGACCAGAATCCTGTGAGTAGACCCCACTGATGGATGCTTTATGTTTAGGATTTTGTGGGTTAAACAGGAGACGGGTCACATTTACTAGTTGAGGAAGGGTTTCGTGTTATCTTAAAATCCTGACTGGCTTTTTATGGATCTGAAGCTACACTAAATGTAGAGGTTCTCTTCCTTATTGTCGGGTTCCGTCTCGCCGCAGGCCGATCCTGGCTCTCCTGTTTTGGCTGCTGGAGATCCAGAGAGGATGAACATGAAGAAGTGTGAGGAGATGGGTGGAATACCCTATCACATCAATGTCATCAAATACATGGTACCCAATCGGAAATTATACTGTCCTTTCTTGTTATTATTCAAATTAATTGTATCAATAAGCTTTTATAATGTATATTTGAAAAATAAATTAACTTGTGCTATGATAACATTTTTTATATTTAATTTATCTCTCATTCAGAGATCAATGAACCCTGAAAACTTTGTTTTTCTTTTTAAACAATCTGTATTGGTTTAGTTTTACGAGTTAAGATGAAAAAGTTATCACACATTTTCTATAATGACTTAGGACACTAAAGACAACTTCTTTTATTTTCTTTCTACAGAACGAATATGCGCAGAAAATCGGCGTGAACCAGTTGCTTCCCTGTGACAAAATGATCTCAGTTTAGCTGGTCCCGTTTGAATGTTCAACCTCAGAAATCTGCCTCTCTGTGCTCTTAAAGTTCACTCTGAGTAACATGGCTACACGATTGTGTTTACGTAAATTCTAGCTATTGAGAGTGATATTTTATATTACCAATACTGTACCATTGTACTTTTTTATATACTTTTCTATGCTGTCAAAACACAACATAAATGCCTCTTAAAAAGCTGTGACATAAAAGTTATGATTCTTCAAACTTTATTTTATTTTGAGAAACTATGTACTTGCTCTTGAAACATACCAACCTCAACAAAAACTCATTATTTGAAGCTCTGCAGTGAGAATGAGTTTACAAATGTTTTACTTATGTTATCATAATTACTTGTTTTTATATGAATTGTTCATTTTCTCTTTTGGAATCAATTATAGCTATAAATTGATTGCTGAGTTATTATTCTCAAAAGTGTCATTTTAGATAGATCATCATTTTAGAAACAGCTGAACATTTAGCTGTGTTTACATTGTCTACATCTGCTCTTTTAAAGAAAATAACAACCTACATAACCTCATGAACACATTGTGTACTTTATTCATTAAAAGTTTTGTAACGGTTTTTACCCACATGTGCCATATGCGTTTCTTGATTTTTCATTTGTTTTTTCTAATCCACACATCGCCCAAAGTGCTGAAATGTAATTATTCTAAAGCATCTAGATCTACGTGTAATTTCTAAAAAAAAATTGTTTTCAGCCTTAATATATGGTTATTATAATCTGCCGTTGCAGAATCACAAACTAACATGATGATTTAGTACTTAAGTGGTTAAAAGTCATAAGAGATGAAGAGCACTGAAATCTGAGTTGTAAAGCAGAACTTGTAGAGCAGAACTTTTTTCCAGGAATGCTTTAGTGTTCACTTTACTTACTGTGATGTTTGGGACATGTCCCAGTTAAAATGTGTTGTAACTTGGATTTATATAGAACAGGATTTTAGACAATATTTTACCTGTCAAATTAATTTGAATTGTACAGGTTATGTATTTCTAAGACAAACTTTGAAAACATTTTAAAATTGTTTTCTAAATATCATCTGACAAATGATTAAGTTATTCATATGAAGACAATTTATAAATGTACATTAAATTCAGCTACTTTTTTTTTATCTTGAACAAGGTCCTGCATTTCAGCTTGCATCACACATGTACCACCACTAGATGGAAACATAGTTTGAAAAAACTCCTAAAGGCGTAAGGAATCTTACTTTTAATTTTATGAATTAATTTGTGTAATGAATTTAAAACTATTTTATTTTACTCCTATCTACAAAACATACCCTATAAACCCATTAGTAAAGTGTAACAGAAGCTGATTTTATAAAGCAAACAAAAAAAAGATGTTTGCGTTCAGGATTAAAGATGAATTTGAAACATGAAGGGTAGCAATCGATATCAGAAGTATGCACATGTTGTCAAATATGATACATTTATATATATATTACACATTTATTATATATAATTTTATATGTTTATTGTATTTATTATATTCTAATTTCTTGACAAAAATGTGATTTTGTCAAGTTTTTAATGGCTCGTTTACACTACATTCAAGAAACTGGACCTTGACAGATGCCCAGATTAGGACCTTAATCTCTCATGCTAAAAGTCTTGGAACTGTGCTCTGGACCCTGGATGTCCCGTTAACACTTGGTCGACCGCAAACAAAAGAGGAGAAATCAACAAATCAATGGGCTTTGAGCCCCACCAGGGGAGGGAAAGGAGGTGGGGTGCGGTGGTGTGGGAGGTGGAGCAGTGAGTGCGGGGCTGGACCCAGTCTGAAGATTAGATTTGAGCAGAGGGGGGGGGTGGCTGGTCGGATTAGAGGCCAATTCAAATACTTGTTATAGGGGGCAGACTTAGAGGCCTGTGTGCGCTGGGATGGATGTATGGATGTATGGTGGGGGTCCGGGCTGCTCCGGCCTTGGCCCGGTGCCCCTTGTGTGGATTAGACAGGGCCTCTTAGAGCCTAGAGAGCAGCGCCGCTGGCTAGGATTAAGCAGATTCTAACAGGTGTTTTCTTTTGTGGTGCTGAGGGGGGGCTCGCTCCGTCACTCGCTGAAAGCAGAAATCATGAAGTGGTTGGGCGACTACTGATGGGGCCGGCGATGCCAAAAAGCCATGCATACGTTTGTGTCAGCGTTGGCAGAGTGTTTATTTCTAGATTTTGGTATGTTCTCTTGGGCAAAAGTGGCTTCTCGGTGATAAATGCACGTCTGTCTATTCCTCACAAAGAGGTCACCACTGTATGTAATGAGTCAAATGAAGGGGGACGGAAGGGAAACCTCCAAACAATCGGTCAACTGACACGATTTGTAAGTGCCAGTGACATTTCAGCGTTTGGTGTCCAAATGAAACTGATCGTCTGCGTTAGCAGTGAAGAACTTGCACTTGCGAGATTAGTTCTTTTGCTGCTTAAGAGCTGCACTTTCACACCGTAGGAGGATCAGATCAGAGGAGCTTAAGTAACAGCATGTCGTAGCTCGAGGTACAGAAAAACACTTTTATGGGATTAGACAGAAGGTGTTTCGGAGCTACGCTGCGCAGTCGTTTTTAAGTCGGAATCAATCCTCGCGGAAAAAGGAAAAAGTTCTTAGTGTAGTAAGTTGTTGTGGCGGCGTGACAGGACCCGGTTCTCCAAACCAGCAGTGGCGAGGGGAGGGCGTGCACACGTACGTGTAAGGACAGACAGGAGGGAGGAGTAGCGATGGAGAGAGCAAGAAAAGCTCTGCTGCTCTCATGCTGAGCCTTTAATGAACTGAATCAACAGCCTGGTCAGTTCCTCCCAGCTGTTGTCCCCACAAAGCCAAGATATTTGGCCTTGGCTCTTTGTCCCGCTCGGACCGCCATACTTCCAAATGACCCGGAGAGCACGCACAAATAAAAGCAAAGCATCTGCTGTGTTGTTGACTCCAACTGCTCAGGAATGCAACATGTCTCCATCTGTTGTTCCCCTGCTCAGGATCAAACATCGGTGCCGGTAGGTGCCAACAGAAAGAGTCAAGTGTGTAAACCAGGGAACAGATTATAAGAATTCTGAGTAGCTTTGCATTTCGTGGCTTTAATTATTCAATTCAATTCAATTCAATTTTATTTATATAGCGCAACATCACAACAACAGTTGTCTCACAGCGCTTTCCAAACCGAGCAGGTCAGACCCTACTCTGAAGATAATTACAGAAACCCAACATGAGCAAGCACTAGGCGACACAGGCAAGGAAAAACTTCCTTTTAACAGGCAGAAACCTCGAGCAGAACCATGGCTCAGGGCTCATTATCCTCTCTGTATTTAAAAAAAATCTAGCATTGTTTTCTTTTTTCAAAATTATTGTGACTCAGTACATTTGAACTAAACTTGTTTTCTCGGAAAATTGGTGGGAACCGAGAAAGAGGCTCCATAACTGATTGTTAAAACAAAACCAACCTTGAGGAAGAAAGTTCATTTTGTAGGTGATCAAAACAGAAGTGGGTGACATCTTTTGTTTTTTGTTTTTTCCCTGTCCCTGCAGGAAAATTCGCACAGATCTTTACATCCATGGCTTTTCCAGGCAGCTAAAATCTGAGAATGAAATAATCTGCTTGAAAAGGGACATTATTTCTTAAACATTTTTCTCCCAACGAAACTCTTTCTGAAAGCGAGCCAGGTGATTCCGGCGTAACCCCTCTGGTCCAGCTGACCAACAGAGAAACACAACCTCAAACAGGAGGATGACATCCAACACCATCTCTTTCCTCGGCTGAATATGTGTGACGACGCGTTCCCTGTGTGGTCTGCACACCGCTGTGCACGCTGACCGGCCGGCGCCTGCTACTTACACACTTATGTCAACAGACAGCTGAGGTACTGGATGGCCTTCGCTTGTGTGTGGGGTCCTAACGACACTTTAACAGTTGGCTTCAGTTGTTGTGCCCTTTAAGTAAAGTCTGTTCTCTTCATTTCTCATTTTCCCTAATTCCCCAATATATAATTAAACTTTTGAAGAGTTGGCATCCTACTTGGATGCAAAAATTGAGAAGATGATGTCAGTTTCACTCTATCTTTGTATGTGTTTTATATCACGGGTGGGTCACGAATACTTTTATTCATTTAAGTGTAATACTTTGCTGAAAGAAATATATTTTGGTTCAAATTTACTCTATGAGATTTATACAATGAAGAACACTGAAGCTGTGAAGAGTTTAATTAAAAAAGTGTTATTCTGGACTGCAGTTGGAGTTGGACTGCAGTATTGTGGACTGATACTTAGGAGAAAGATAATTAAACACATAAATTCTGATTAATACAGTAGTAGGAATAAAAAAGGTAAGGAAAAGAAATATGTCCCCCATCAGAAACCTGCAGTTCATGGTGCAAGATCAACCGATCGAGTTTAGTCAGTTTAGCTAATTCCAAGCACTTTTATGAAGAGAATTGCACCAACGTCAGCCTTTATCTGTCCCCTATAGACATGGGACTGGAACACCAGAGCCAAAACAACTAGATAAAACCAAAACGCTACAAAATAGAAAACAAATAATTGATATTTACATACACACATTCAAATAGACACTGGCTCAATAATCCAGGTCAAAAAGCACTTTCTCTGCTATTCTTAGCCCTGCTCCTGAAGCTCTTGAGCAGTAAACTGGGCCATTTCTTTCTTTTGCCTCCACTTTCCTGCCAAAAAGACAACCAGAGTGAGGTGAGTTTTATATAACACATGTTGAACAGATGTTAAATGTATAAAAGCTCCAGGAAAAATTTGAAAGAACAACCAAATCTGTCATATAAATTTCATGAACGAACGCCGAGGTTGCTGGGATGTCTTTCATTGTTGTCTGGTGCTTGTATCACAAACAAACAACTTACATGACATGTGTTTACATGTGCATAGTGTATATAATATTTTTCCTTAAGGCCTGGCTCTATCAATACTGTAATGTTTTCCATAGTTTATTGTTACTACTCTGTTACAGGGTAAATACTTTCTTTGAATTTCTTTTTATCTTTATCTTATCTTTATTTATCTGTGACACTCAAATTTCCTCTTTTTGGGACTATCAAAGGAATATATTAAGGTTATTATCTTAACAAGCCATTCTGCTGGACTTTCTTTTCGGTACTCATATGTAATGGAAAAACTACCTAAACCGAGTCCAATCGAGCTGAACATGGCTTGGTAGGTGCTAAGGGAAAAGCTCCAATAGAAAGTTTCTACACCTATATAAAATGTATCTAAGCAGGAAAACTAGCTCTGTTAGCCCCATTAACTCAGAAAAACATGTAGTGTTTTGTGTCTTGAAACATAGTGTTTGTGCAACCTGCACGAAAGGAAAAAAAAAATGAAGGCAAATAACGCTGAATAAAAATCAAAACAGAAAAAAGCGGGGGTTAGGTAGTTAAAGCATTAGGGAAAACAAACATTTTCATCCTCCTTTTCAGAGGATGTTTGTATTGGCCTTTCTTTGAGTGGGCTGGGATGATGTTCATCTAATCACATTCTCTGTCTTTCTATTCAAGAGCAAACCCAACGCAGTCTGCAAAAATGCAAAAATCTTTAATTACCAGACACGTGTTTACG